GTTACGTTATACATGTAATATAAATTGTTATCTATTTTCTCACGACTGTATGAAAATCTACTTCTCGCCAAAAATACCTCACGCTAATTTGAGAACCTTAATTTTGGCTAATAGCTATAGTAAATTGTAAAATGAGTTTATTAAATAGTGACTATTCCGTTTGGTTTGACCTAAACTTTAAGGATTTTTGATAGCTAAATTTTCAATAAGTCTCTGTACCTTAAAATCAGGAGTTGTAATTTGCGGTTTAGATTCAGGGGTTTTAATTCGTACCTTAAATTCTCCCTTGGTCTCTCCTGGAAGGAAAAGGGTTAAGCATAATCTTGATGAATGGCTGCCCTTTAGAAGTACATACTTTCGGTTAAATTATGGTTTCTATGCAACAATCCGAAAAACTAATAATACCTTCATGTCACACCTATGTTCTTTTTACTTTTATTCTATAAAATATAGTAAGCTCACTTCTATGTGTCAATAGAGCCCATTTTTATTGTTTGCGATCGCTGTTTTACGCCTTCACGATATTCATTTCGCAATTGGCCTCGACTCATTTAGCTGAGGGATGCGCTTTTGAAAATCATTAGCATAAAGAAATGATATTTACATAACTAAGCATCAGAAACAAAAAGAAAACTATTACCTTCGGGTATGGTTCGATTGCTACGTCACATCTCTCAAGACACTTTATTTAACATTTAACCAAAGAAGTTTCTATTCCAGAAATTGACTCGAAATTGAGGTAAGGATAAATTTTTCTCTATCGACATTAACGTTCCGACTTTTGATTGATCAATGAGTGCCAATTTTCAATAGGGCTCTTGAATTTTACAAGTAAACAACGAAATTAAATTTCACCCAGCTTCTCGATAAATTGAGAGGATCAAGTTCCACTAAACGTGAGGGAAATTGTTTGAAAATTCACGTACAACGTAATGTAGTTAAATGTTTCTTTTTCGTTTCGCCTATTTTATACATATTACAGACACCAGAAACTATTTTCAAAAATAACCCATGTTATTACTGGGAAGTAATTAGGATTGCAAGTCACTAGCTTTAGCTCTCAAAAAAGTGCGTATATTCGAATGTTTAAGAAAAACTATCTATACTGTATGGTGAATATAAAAAGCAATGGAGATCACGATACAGCTCAGTAAGTTATTTGACCGGGATATTGTTTCCGTTTCTCTGGAAGTCTGGATTAGAAATTGCTCGGTGAGAAAGCTCTCATCGGCACTGTTAAATGAGCATCTCGCGGGCTTTCTGCGAGGCCTGCGGGAGGTATTTCTGTACATGTCACTCTTAAGATTTCCAGTCAGATCCTTAGCGGTAGACCACCCATGGGCGAGCGAAGCGGGTTGGCTCGATTCTTGTAGATCGAGCGAGAAGCGTGTTAGATACTTGTGCAACAGAGCTGATGAGCGTAGCCACAGGAGGCCCACCAAGGCGGTTATGATAGGTATATTAAATTTTTACAACCCTAAATGGAAGGAAAATATGGTATCAAGTTGGTAGGCACGGAGAACTGTTTTAGCCTTAAAAGGCATCATCAAAATGACACACTAAAATGATAATACCACCGAAAAAAGGGAAAAATGTTAGCCATCGTATTAGTAAAGATAGAGATAATTTTCGCCTTATTGGACCTTATCAGAATAACAATACTAACGTGACAGTCTCGGTGTCCCATTGAGAAGGATATTAAGGTCCCTCACTGAACGTTAGGGCCTTACTGGGGAAGACTGGTACGAAGTTGTGGCGATACAGACCTGTGCTCTGACGGCGCGAAAACAACCGAGGGAAGATATTTCCTACCTCGCTTGTAAATCATTTTATCATATGCCGAGGTAATCCTGAGGTAAATTCGAGCCTTCTGATTGGTTTTTACTTGGTCGGTCTGTTTTTTCATATAGACCGTTTCCACGGAAACGGTCATAAGCTGGTCATGATTGGCATGAGCCAGCAAATTCAAAATAATCAAGTTTGGTTTGAGTGCCATATAATAATCTACTTAATATCTTTGCTTGCTTGAGCCATTCTGGGGGATATCGGCCCTCTTTAGTTTTTTTATTTTATTATTTTTTAAAATTTTTACAAATTTTTTAAAATTTTTCATTGGCGGTCCGTACTGTCACGACTTCGAGCCGATATTCCTCAGTACGGCCCTCAAGCTCGGTTAATAAGAAGTTAGTATCGGAGTTGTAAAGCCGGCGACTGATATTTTCTTCATATCACTTTTTAGGTTATAGGATAGCGGCATACAGAATGTTCGTGAGATCGGGTTTTCTTCCTTTGCTCATGATCGGTTTCCTTTCAAGCCTCTTTTTTGCCAGTTATTTGATAATTAAGGAGAAGAAAATTTCGCCATCGGGAAGACGCTTTGTGCAGGTACTGGAGACGGTGACGTTCACAGAAAATGGTAAGTTAAATTTAAAAAGTAACTTAACTGTGAAAACCTCTGTTAGTTATTTTACCCCCAAGAGTGACTAGCATCTAATTTCTCCTTACGGTGTCGCCGCTGAATCAAACATTAAAGAGATGAGAATTAAAGAAACAATGATAAGAAGAAGCTTTTCAACGCTCAACGATTCCCCTCGTCATTGAGATAAGAAATGGATGGCAAACGGTAAGGGGAATAAGGGGGGGGGGGGGGGGGGTAAGTTTCTAAAGACACAGTGCCGCTGCGTCGGTGGGATAGTATAACAGGTAATTTAGTGTTAACAGCTGAGTTGAAAACGTAAATTTGCCACCGTAAAGGATAAAAAAGCTGACGTTTCGAGCGTTAGCCCTTCGTCAGAGCGATTGTAAGGGGAATATGCATACTGATTTTGGATTTATTTGGTATTTCTTCAACACGCTCTGTGGTTGGTATAGAACGCTTGCGCCACCTTCTCAACCAATCGAACGTGAGTCAGAAGCTGGTTACAGGCCGGCTAAATCAGATCTTCTCTTCATTGAGTTTCCCAAAGGGTCTTAATATTTTTGCCGTTTGTAATAAGCGGTCGTTGAGACTCAGCACTCGATAATGTTAGTGCTGAGGAAATATTCCATGAATGCAATAGGAGAAAGTTCACTTGCAATTGGTAAAGTGTACCTGTGAAATACTTTTTCATCAAAAAACCCAAATGGAAATATCGCAAACGATGACGCACAGAAAATATGGCAAACAATTTGATCGTGTAGTCTGACTGTCGTGGCGAGG